TGTTTTCGATGCCGTCGTTGCTGCTTTGCTTGGCATTGTTGTCGTTGTTATTTGTGGCCGGATATTTATAAAATAATGTCAACAAAAATCCAATTTCCTTTTACCTTCCCGTTTGAATATTGCGCATACTTATAGGTACGGTAGTCAGTGTCTTAAAATTCATGCGACGCTTAAAGCAGTTTCGTTTTGGACTCTGGAGGGTGGAAGGTGGCTCTGGAGCTGGAGTTCGAGTTGGAGTTGGAGAAGGAAGCACGGGCGGCGCGTACTTGTGAAGTGCACTTGACATTTTACTAGGATTTTCTATAGCATTGTTCGAGTTGTTGTAGTCGCTGTAGCTATTGTTGTTGTAGGCAGCTAGCTCAAGTGCAGGCAACCACAGGTTTGTTCAGTTAGTCAGCCAGTGAGCCAGTGAGCCAGTCAGGCATTGAGCCAGTCAGGCAGTAAGTTGGGGCAACAGTCTGCAGTCAGCTTTCGCCTGGTTGCACGTTTTCTGCTTGTTTAGTTAAGCGCTTTGGTTGCACACGCACGCTCCTTCCCCCACTACATATACAGAATGTACACTGGGAGAAATAATCATAAATAAATATTTGACTTGAAGCTCTTTGCCCCAATATCCTTTGGCCCTTTTATAGAAATTTCCATGTTTTTATTTTCATTCTGTGTTTCCATTTTGTGTTTCATCCGTTGATTATTTATCTCATTACTTTTTGAAAAGCCAGATAATGAAGGTTTATGCCGTTTATTCCGATATTTAAATGCTTGCTTTCTGGTACGAAAAAACATAGTTCTGCAATCTGGGATTGGAGATCTTTGTAGAAAATGGAAGAGTTCAATTGTTCCGCTTTTAATTTGAATGTTCCCCTCTATTCGGGGCTGAATTTTCAAAAACTAAAAGTGCATTTTGCAATGAGATTCATTTGAATGTGCTGTTGTACTAGGTCATAAAAAATATCTTTTATTACTCATTAAACGCAAGCTAAATTCAAAGAATGTTAAAATAAGGATTACAAATCTGTATGTTATGGCGCTGGCTTAGTTTGTTCTTTGAATGGGATATTATAGAATTGTAATCAATTGCAGTTATCTAATTATTATTTCCATCTAACATACTGGAAAAACTTTGATTCACACTTGCTGATGATTTAGTACAGTGTATACTCGATGCAGCACCAGCTGCATGCCAGATTTATTTTCATAATAGTTTCTTAGGAACGCTTCCGCATCAGCTTCGCCCTCAGATTTCAGCTTGCGGCTGCAAAGCAATCGAACAGCAGCGGCACTCGCTTTAACAATCTTCCCCACAGTGTTCGGGCCATGATGGCCGCTTGTGTAGTTTACCTTTTGAGCGGCATATCCGTTTTTCGACTTCCGCCACACTCCATCAGCCGCACGACTGCTCAGATGCTCGACTGTTCGACGATTATTGTGTATTGTTATAATAAAGTTCAGCTTCATTTCCTTGCGTCAGTATTGCTTTTAATTTCCAGGCAAAAGTAACAACAACAATAACAACAGCACCAGCAGCGGCAGCAGCTGCAACAGTAAGAGCTTCTAAAGGAGCTTTGCCTTGCTGTTCTACTCCATGCTCAAGTGCGTTTAAGGATGCGAGTCCCGAGTCCTGTTGTGGGTCGCCTGTCCTTCCTTTTGCCTTGGCACAAGCATAACGTTGAGCCGCATTTTCTTACCCCAGTTCGCGTCGCTGAGTTTCTCTTGCCCCAGTGTTCTTGCAACTGCTTTTGTTGTCTGCCCATCGAAGTGTTAGTGTTTGCCTCGTCCTGGCCTGACGTCCCTGCGACCCACACACCTGACCTTCAGAATTTACTTCCAGCGTTGTCGTCGTCGTCGTCGTTGCTGCGTAAACTGTAATTTATTTCAATCCCATTTTAATAGATATTTATGCATTTGTTTATTTTTTTTTTTTTTTGTTTCCTTCTGTCTCTCTGTCCCTGCTGCAGTTTTTAACGGTTGTACGTATTGTCGACATGTCAATAAATTAAGTTTTCTTAACGCTTGATTTGTGCTTGGTGCTCTTGACGTGGCCATGAATCGAGACCTGTTCCAAGGCTTCGAGCAATTGTATTTTCGATTTTATCAAATTGAAATTCAGCGAAGCGCGAGAGATGGAAATTGCGTAGAACATATGGAATGAAGCGCAGAATAAACGGGGGGAGGAAGCAAATCATGAAATGAAATGACAGGTATTAAGTACATATTTACCCAAAGCGCTCAACGAAAAATGAAATTAAACCGGGCTTGTTGCTTGCGTCCAATTTATTTCATACGAAATCTTGAAAATCCACCTGATTTGGAGCATGCCTGGGCAACTCTAAAAGCCCGATTTGTGGGTAAATGCTGGAAAGCCAGAAGCTGAGCACCTTTTAGCATATCGGCTTTTCATTCCGAAATTCTATTGTTATTTGGAAGCAATTACTAATCGTTTAACTGTCAGTTAGGGTGCAAAGCCATTTGAATAAATCTAAATCAATGGAACAGCAGGTGTAGCTAATTCCGTGCAACTCAAATTCGATAATTAAATATGCTTTTTTATATTTTAAAAAGATTGGCTGAAAGCCCTGCAAAAGTCAAGTAAATATGATTGCAATATATTTTTATATAGAACTAGATTAAGCTGAGATTAAGACAGGAAGTAGGATACAGATATGTATTCAGATATGTTTAAACCAAATTCATTAAGAAGTGCTAATGAGTTTCTAAAGGTAAAGAGCTCGAAATTGTATTTGTGGAAAATGTTTTAAGTCTGCAGGCCACCAACTATTTGCTTAATTTTTGACATAATATTTAACGCGATAAGTTCGCAAACTGTTCGCTGAAATGAAATTGTATGTAAAATACGATCTTAAAGCGCAAAAGGCAATCTGACAAAAATATATATAGAATATTGAAAGGAAGATGCCACAAAATATAAATCAGCTTCCAAAGAGAGTTTCTGTTTCTACCAAGCTTTCCACAAACAATAAATTAAAAACATGCATATTGTTGTTTAATAGAGTGAACGTATTTTCAACAATTCAGTTGCATTTTAATAATGGCATAGTCAGGTAATTAATCATGTATAGTTATACACATAGTAGCTCATAAATTTAGTGATTATTGCAATTGTTCTCATTTATTTGTAATTGAAGTTAGCTAAAAATTTAGCACGAGTCATTAAATCTGAAATATATTCTCTTATTCAGATCTGCCTGTAAGCCGTCTTTCTCATTCCACAACTAACTTCAAATAATTTTGTGAGCCTTGAGTTTTTATTTGAGTTGAGATGAGCAGCAAATGCGAGTCAGTAGAAAATGTTTGGTCTGAGACTTAGACTAACTAACCCCTAGGCCGAACTGCCAAATTATTCATGATGCTGTCGAATGCAATGACAAACGTTGCTGCTGTTGTGATTGTTGTCGCTGTTGCTGCTGTTGCTGTTGCTGTTGCTGCTGCTGCTGTTGTTGTTGTTGTTTGCCGCTTTCAAGTGCCCCTTGGGTGCTGCAAGCTTAAAAGTTAAACGAGCAGCAAACAAGCCAATGGGACTAAATGGAAACATATTGGGAATTTAAAACGGGAAACCAGAGCACTCAGTTTTCTTAGAAAAATGCCGCCTAACAACGAAATCGCATTAAACGGTTTTCGTTGCTGTCCTCTCCAGTACTGTTGCTGGCAATCGCACGAATAGCCGACAACTAATGGCTGGAGTGCATAAATCATTTAGGAAGCAGGTGTTGAGCAGAGCGCGGTGTTCCTTCTATCCTTGTTACTGTAGGTATTGTTGTTGTGTTGCTGTTGTTGCTGTTGTTGTCACAGAACTTGCAATTTTGCAAAGTGCCAGAGACACAGAGACAACACATACTCGTACAATTCGACACACTCGACTATAAACTGCTGCTGTGCACTTGCATAAGTCTATCAATAAATAATAAATTTTTACTTCATTGAATTTGTAAAAGCAATACATTCGAGCGCACTCCGTGAACGATGCGTGGAACATGGCTGTGTGGGGTCGGAGGTGGAGGTGGAGGTGGAGGTAGAACTGGAACTCGAACTCGAACTGGAACTGGACGGAGTCTGATGCAGAATGTTGTGATGCATTTCTCTTGCCAACGACACATGAAACATTCAAAAGCGGATGGGGGCCACAGTCAGAGTCGGCAAACAGCGGGGTCTCCAGCATTCATCCTTCTTTTTTTTGTAAAACGATGTGAATGAGAATAAAGGGGAAACAAATTCAGCAATAGTAGCCCCAGCAGCAACTTAAAACTAAAATGCCCCTTTCAAATACATATTTTGAATGAATTGCTAAATTGCTAGAAAAAAGAAACATTTCAACGAGAGTTGGATGCACTCTATGATCAAATATTGTATGGCACTTGCCATCTTGATATAACTATCAATATAGTTTTTTAAGCCGTGCCGTGTTCATTATAGAGCAAGTAGAATTCAATTCAATCGGCAATAAAACTGTTTTTCATGTTTCAAAAATGCTAAAAACAGTAATGCAGTTAAATGTTTAAAATGAATTAACGAAGCTTTTCACTTAGTTGCTCAAATTTCTAGCGAATGGTATTCAAGTAGTCTATAGGATCTACGACCCAAAGGTAGAGTACCTGGCTTTCAAGAGCTATGCTCTAAGTAATCGGAAACCTGGACAACAGCTCATCTGATCTTTTCCCATCCATTGTTCCGCAAAAAAGAAATACATTTGACTTTATGCTTCAACTTTATATATATTTTCTTGTTCTTGGGCTAAAATTTTTCCAAATCGCAAAAGAATCCGATATACAAGTTAGTATCCGTACAAAAAAAAAAGGTATTTCTGGACTTCAAATAAGCTCTTTAAACATTGATACGAATAAAGTTGCTTTCTTCAGTAGTTACAAATATAAGGAAAACGTTGCTTCATCCTTAGACAGTGTATGAGAATACAAAGGAGGCCATCAAGCGGAAGGCGATGGCGTTGGCGTTGGCGAGGCAGCCAAGTGAACGAGAATGTGGTCAGATTGGGCTGCACTCTCTTTTATTTTGGTTTGGTTCTATTGTCTAGTGTCTAGTAGGAAGTATGTGTACAAATAATGGCCTGTTGCTGTGTCTATTGTGGCTATTTTTGGGATTATTTTAAAAATATATTGTTACCGAAATTTGGCTGCACTTTCTGATTGATGGCAGGCCACCATTTTGCGCTGCCATTAGCACACATCACCAGGGATTATCATGACTGTTCCAACGGGCCTCGGTGCCTGGGATCTCACGGCAGCGTGGTTGAAAGCTCGGCTCGGTTATTTGCATTCCCTGTGGGTGCTCCTGTCGCTGTCCTGTCCGCAGCCCCTGTCCTGACCGCTGGCCTTGTCCTGAGAGGTGCCCTGGCCGCTGTCGTTGGGATTGCCGGGTGTGGGTGGAGCCCGATGCCTTAGGTCTTCCGTCTGGTCCGATTTGCATTTTGGTACTGCTGAGAACGTTCATAGTGCTTTTGTGTGCTATCATAGAGGGTGTTTGAGGTATACAGGCTCCAGACTTACTGGCGAGCATCTTTAAGTGTTCCCCATCAGCCTTACCTTGTGCATCCTTTTTCAAATGGCAGGCCGGAGAGCAACGCTGTGGTGGAACTTCTGGCAGAGCGCACGCCCGATCGGGATACGGACCGATATAGAAGGGATTGAACGGCTTGTCGCACATCTTGTGGCTCCTGCAACTTGCTGAAAGTCCTGACGAAATTAATATTACTATCCGATTACTTACTTGCCCTCAGCTAGCAAAAAGTGGCTGCCAACAGAAAATTTAATTTCAGTTTAATTTCTTATTCCAAGAGATGTGTTCCGAGAGAGATGTGCCCCAATAATGAATACATGTTTCAACGAAAATCGAAGTGCCTTGAGCTTTGTCTCATAGGCTGCTGAAATTTCAAAGTAATTATCGACATTTATTAAAAAAAGAATACCCAAAATTTTACAAGTAGTTATGTTGTATGGCTATTATAAAATGTGTATAAATATAGGAAGGCTCATCACTGAAGCTATTCTAAATTCATTTATTTGGTGTTAGTGGTGGATTCTGAATAATGGTGATTAATAATATTAATAAGTATATTTTTATTTGCAATTTGCGTTCGCATTCGACAATTCAATTTGTTTTGGCCCTTTCCCTTCACTTCTGATACGCATAAAAGGGAAAGTTCTTTAAGTATTTTGAATTAAATAAGTTGCTGCTTTTAAAGCTTTTAACAATTGCTTATTAATACTATAACTAACAATTAAAATAACGCTAAGAAAGCTGTCCATGTGTGTGTATACATATATATAGTTGTATATGAGTTTGAGCTTATATGTATGGCTGTCTGTTTATATATATATATATATATATAATACATATGTACACTATATATATTTGTATATAGTTATCTGCTAATATTGATGCTTTTAAAACTGGTCTGATGTTAAAGTCTTGTCTTGTTTCTCTCTCTCTCTTTCCCAAACTCTCTTCCTCTCCATGCAGATCTTGCAAGCATTAAAGAGATTATCAAAGAGACGACTGTGAGGCAGAGAGAAATACACAAACAGCAGAGCTTAAACAGCATAACAAATACGCCCGCAGTGCCGCATAGCATACACATAGAAAATGTAAATAAACCAGTGAGGGCCGCGTGTAGGAAAATGCAACTAATACAAGCACTAAACACTCGAAAAGCGCAGCGCCTAACAAAACTAAACTAGCCAGAGAAGGGCAGAGAGCAGAGGCCAAGTCGAGCCAAGTCGAGGCCCAAAGACGAGGCCAAAGCCGAAGCCGAGCCGACTCGAGCCGATCTAAGCCGCAACAGTTAACAGAGACGGCAGTGAGAACGGCGCCGGCCGGCAAACAATCGCAAGTTCAAGCAATTTAAGAGAGCGAGACTCAACCATGGCTGGTCCACAGGTGCAGCACACTCAGCGACCCCATAGCGCATATTACACGGGCCTCAACGGCAGTGGCGGCGGCAGCGGCGGCGGCGGCGGCGGTGGTGGTGGTGGTGGTGCTGCTGCTGCCGGCATGCCTTCGAGTGCCTCACACACAGGCCTTCACGCTCTGCGGCAAGTCTCTAACGAGACAGAGCTAATCTATCGTGGCAGCCACAGCAATGGCACCGTCAATGAGATACATCCAACTGGCAGTCGAGGCATCGGCATTATCCAACAGCAGCCGCACACATCACGGGAGGCGCGCGCACACGCTCTCGCCCATAGTGGCAACATCGTGAGCATAGCCGGACCGGGTCCGAGTGCTACAGATGCGTTAATTGGCACCATTGCCACCAATAGCGGCACCAGTTCGGCACTGGCGACGAGCAGCGGAGCCGTCAGCGGAGGTCTGAGAAAGTCAAACACGCAGCGCAGTATCGAGATCATTGTGGATGCCACACAGTGCGGCAAGATGAGCAGCTCGGGTGGCGGTGGCGGTGGCGGGGCTGACACCGATGCGGATGATGTGGAACAAGGCGGTGGACAGGAGACTATGCGTAAATCTTCACGACATCGCCATCGGCCGCTGCATCGACGCTTGATCAGCTATCTACGCAGCCTCTTTCAAGGCAGCACCGCCCAAAATGGTAAGCAAAAGGGGTAGACTATGGCTGAACTGGGTGCTAGAGGTGTGTGCGTGACACGACATGATACAAAACGCGGCACACCATCATCATTTCGCATTGTTTTTCTTTTGTTATCTGTACACCTAAAGTATCTTGCTAAACCAAAAACTACCCGATATTAGATCTTCACATTTTTGAAAAAGCACTCCAATATCAAAATAATGCAATTCTGATATCAAATCGCTTTCTATTTTTCAGCTGTAATGAGCTAACTAAAGTCTAAAAATATTAACAATGCGCCGTTCATTTAGTTAAGCGAATAATTATAGAGTATATATATTCTTGAACAGTATGACAAGAGAAATCGATCTAGACATGTCTGTCCGTCTCTCTGTCCGTCTGGATTAATTCCTGGATTTCGGAAACGGCTGAGTGGACTTTAACCAAACTTGGTGGGTGGACGCTCCTAGTTTCTAGTCTATAAGAGTTTTTTATTATTTTTTGGATTTTGATTTACAGAATTTCGTCAATACTGTCCACATTTGAACAGCAAAATAAACCAAACTCTATAATTATCTACTTTTGTTTCGAATCTTATCAAAATCTGTAATTTCTGAGAAAAGTTATTAGCGAAACAATTTCTCTCCAGCACTGCGCTCACAAACTGAAGCATTAAATTAGCTCTTCTTCTCTTTCTCTTTCCCTCTCCTAAGGGCGCCACTGAGTTATCAGTGGCGGAAGTTTGTCTGGGTACAGGGTATTTCACTGTCGGGCTTGCTCGACTAGAGCATTGCTACGTTTCCATTTCCTTTTCTATCTGAAGCAGCACATAAATATTGATATATTAGGTACGGGAATCATTTTATTTAAAAAGGAAAGCACACTTAAGGAGTAAATATATTTACTTGTGTGGTGTATATTTTAAGATTTCGGACATTTTCTCGTGTCACGTCAGAATGAAGTATGATAAGCACACACCTCTATTTGCATCCCCTTGAGTAGCTTGGGGCTGATGGGCTATAACTTGATTTTTGTGATGCAATTTAGTGACAATTACTTTTTTCTTCTTTTTTAACATTTATTTTGGTTTAGTTTTGAGGACACTTCTGTTGGCCTGGCGCTGCCTTTCCAAGCGTAAGCAGTCGCGGTCATCTTTGTTGTTGTTTTCCTTCCCCCATACCTTTGCTACTAACTACAGTGCTTACTTAAGGCATTGAAACCTGAACTAACACCTATGCTTGACCAGCACATAGGCGGCATTATGCGATATCTTGTTGTTGCTCATGCTGCGCAGGCTTTGGCTTCAGATCCTCCGACTCCTTGTGCACGCGATTGCTGAACGTTTGCGAGACGAGTGTCCAGGAGTCCATGAAGCGGTCCATGCACATGGAGATGCATTTTTGTTCAGCTGCATCCAAAGTGATGCCTGGGCGGTCGATGCACTTTTTAAAGCATTTCGTCGTCATTTTCTGGAGCAGCGCCTGCACGGAGGCCAGGACGAATTCCTGCTTGGCACGCGCCATTAATTTTGTATGCACCTGAGTGCTATCCTCCATAATTTCGCCTTCAGTGTGTCCTGTGTGTGTGTGCGTGTGTGTTTTTGTGCGAATTCTGAATCTTTCTTTCGCGCTTCTACAAAGAAAACAATTTCAAGTTTCGCCTTCTGCGTGTTTATTATTATTTTTTATTTTTTTGACAACTGTGTATCTGAAAACTGTGTGTATGTTGAAAACTCGTGTTTTTCTCGCCTCCAAATATGCTCAGCCATTCGTTTCCCATGTTATCCCTATGCTCGGTGTTCAGTGAGGCGTGTCTGCGCCCCCTTTTTTGGTAGCTGTCTTTGTCGCTTGGCATTGCAGTCATAATATTTTCAAATGCGTTTTTGCTCGCTACCATATTTTTTGTTGCCTTTTGTGTTGCGTTTTGTTTTGTTTTGTTCCTCATATGACGGCAATTGCTGCTGCATGTTTTGTTGTTGTTGTTTGTTTTTGTGCATGGAGAGCGCGAGAATAACGAGCGTTTTGATTGCGGGCAAATCTCTGCATCGTCCCTGCTATTGCTGCTAAAAAAAAAAACAAAACAAAAACCCGCAAAAGCCGCGTCTGAAACGCCAACGCGTTTTTGCCATCCCCCAAAAGTATGCAACAAAGAAGCGCATTCCCTTGCTTGTTGATTTGATAAATTATTTGAAGAGGTTGATGTTGCGGACAGTTTGGAGGGGCCCTAACCTTATCAAAGGATTGCCAGACGCAAGGCTGTGTACATTAACTGAATTAAAAAAATATATATTAAGAGCTAAAAGAGTTCTAGGAATACTTTATTGCTTTTACTGTCGCAAGGACATGTACAAATGTGTGATAAGGATTCCTAGAATATTCAAAGAAAATGCTGTGGCCACCTCCTTTTGGCAAGTTTAAAATATAGATATGTGTGTATAGATATTAAAAAGAACCATGTGAGAGAATCTGCCGAGAACACCTACCTAAGTTGTAACAGCGTTTAAAAATAAAGGATGTTAAAGAACTCGTGTGACAGTTGGCCGTACACACATTATAAATAAAAGAAGCACTCTACACTGTTTCTACAGCATTTCTTCTCCACTCTTTTATGATTTTAATAGGTAAGGTAACAAAAAATTAGCTATACCTTATTTAACAAATGTTCTTCTATTATTTGTAGATAGCAAATTATTTTATGTAACTTTCAAGAATTGTTTTTTTTTAACTTTTTTTTCAGCTAGTACATCACATACAAATTGTATATTGTTAAGCCATGAATCGATCAGCTTGTAGCTTAGGTTTGTAATACTCAGAGGGAAGAATGGTGATGGGTACATCTATGATTGGCACGATGAAACGAATCCAAATCCACATTTCCCTCTGTTTGTCTGTTGCAATAACTACTCCCCCCATAGTCTTAGAGCTGTCGTAATTAAAATTTGTATCAAGGCGTCCTTTTTACGGACACCGATGATATGTCTAAAGAAAGTTCCAACCATCAACTAAAAATTTGAAATTAGAATTTCCTGTAGTTCATTATTTATTATTCAATTCAAATTATGGGTATTTATGTTTACGAAAAATATATATTTTAATATTACTACGGAACACTTTACCTTTTTTGTTTCATTATAGCCATTTATAGTTTTAGAAAGAAGTCGCCTTATTAGATATGAAATGCTTTCTAGCAATATTCTCAATATATTTAATATATTCAACGAACCATTTGGCGTGAGCGGTAGTCAACGAAATGTAATATAAGTAGTTTCACATTTTTTGTGCATCATTGTAATTCAATCGCAGAGATGGCTCAAATAATTGATGATAGGTTTCATTCAGATTGAAGTTCTCAGCAGCAATGCCTCTCAATCGTAGAGAGAAATTGCATTGATTGTTTTCCCCGAATGCGCTCAGAATAAGATACTGCGACTTTGTGATTGTTGTTGTACCACCTTCGGGCACATCTCTTTGGTTTTGTCAGTAAGGATCCACTTGCTTGGCTTTGTTAGCCGTCCCGTTGCCTTCTGTCTGTCGTCTGTTGTCTGCTGTCTGCTGCCTGGTGCCTGGTGCCCTTTGCCCCTTCAGCAGTTTGCAAAATGATGAGCTCAACATAAAAGTTGCATGCCAAGCTGAAATTGAATGCAGAAAACTGAAAGTAAAATAAAGCTCGCTTAACGCAAAAAACGTAAAGAGGAAATCAATATGTAACACAATATAATATTTGTTTGCTACTCGGGGCTGAATTGAGTGACGAGCGAAAGCTCGAGTGCGGGAAAGGGGCGTTGGTGGGTTTTGATGATTGCTGATGTTCCTGCGACTTGGGTAGCTGCTTTGACAATGACAAGAGCAACAGTAACAACAATGACAACGGCAGGACACAAGAACGAAAGTTGAAACTCTCGAGTGGAGTTCGACGCTCACAGAGTAGCGTCAAAGAGAACTTTGCATGCCATACATCCAACCCCCACGTCTACGCCCCTCATCCATAAATCCACCATAAAGTAGACAAATTTCATTTTACAAATAAGTGCATATATATATATATATATATATATATATATATATATATATATATATATATATATATATATATATATATATATATATATGCACTTATTTGTAAAATGAAATTTGTCTACTTTATGGTGGATTTATGGATGAGGGGCGTAGACGTGGGGGTTGGATGTATGGCATGCAAAGTTCTCTTTGACGCTACTCTGTGAGCGTATATATATATATATATATATATATATATATATATATATATATATATGCCATATATGCCATATATATATATATATATATATATATATATATACGAGTATATACACAGTATATATGTATATCTATAATCGGCAGCATAGCATTTGGGCTGCCTCTATTAAGGCGACTGCCTTCTTCCCGGCTGCTCTCGGCCTGGTAAGAGAATCGAACAGATTCCTGGGAGGCAGTGACTGCAGCGTTAAAGTTTTATTGAAAAAGTTTGATGAATGACAAGCTTTTGGCTTTTGCTGCCACCCATTGCTATTGCTATTGCCATTGCCATTGCCATTCGCCAGTTCCAAAACCACCATCTGCCAATTTTAGTTAATAACTGGAATGACAGCGCGTAAAATACGAAATCATTCAAGTTGGCGGCCAAATAATAGAACTTTGAATGGGCGACAGCACAATTTCGGCTCAAGTTATTTTGAATGAGATCCAAGTTACTCTTGGAGTCTTTAAATGTGAAGGCCACAGCAATAATTTTGCAATAATACTATATATATGCTGACTGTGAATCACATTTGCGGATTCTTATGTGAACCTTAAGCCAAAGTTAGCCAACAATTTATTTCAAAAAATCTTCAAAATATTTAAGCACATTCGAATATTTTGTATTATATGGTACTTTTGGTTATTTTTAGAAATGCGCGCCTTGACTCGAACGTTTAATTGATTACAATAATAAAGCGGTAATTTGTATAGCTTGGTAGACAATTTAAGGGCTATAGCTTATATAATTATTAAAAGTGTTTGATAGGTCCAAAATTATTAACTTGTTTTATATAAAGCACGTGGTCACACTTGTTAATAATAACCTTTTGATTTTGAATACAGTAAAAGCTGTCACCGACTCCGTAAACAGTCAGTCTTATTTTATTTTTATACCCTGTACCCGTAGGGTAAAAAGGGTATATTAGGTTTGTGCAAAGTATATAACATACAGAAGGAAGCATCTCCGACCCCATAAAGTATATATATTCTTGATCAGCATGACGAGAGAAATCGATCTAGACATGTCCGTCCGTCTGTCCGTCTGTCCGTCCGTCTGTCCGTCCGTCTGTCCGTCTGGATGAACGCGAAGATCTCAGAAACTATAAAAGCTAGAATAACCAAAGTTGGCATCCAGATTCTCCTAGGTCCGAGTAAGGACGAGTTTATGTTTTTTTTTTTAATTTTCCCCCCCTTCCCCCGCTACAGAAGTTCGTCAATAGCGTCCACATTTCAAATGCTACCTAAACCAAACTTTGCACACATAATTAATATAAAATTGTCTACTGTTGTTTAAAATTTTATTCAATTCGGTCAATTCTAAGAAAAGTTATTAGCAAAACAAATTCTCGCCAGTACAACCCCCCCAAACTGCAGCAACAAGCTCACTCTTCTTCTTCCTCTTTTTGCTGCTGCTATGGGCGCATATAACTCAGTGACGGAAGTTTACCTGGGTACAGGGTATTACACTGTCGGGCTCGCTCGACTGTAGCGTTCTCTCTTGTTTATTTGTTTATTTTATTTTATTTATTTATTTGCCTAACAGAATTAAAATTCGTCCTTCCATTGATCTTGATAGAATACTTTTCAAGTGACTGTTGATGGCTTTAGATCCTTTTATTTTGTTGACGTTATTATTCGTTATTATTATTAATCTCAAGACGAAACCTATGCTTTCCTCAATTTAGTTTCTTTTCTTTCTACTGGATGGATAATTGCTTTAGAATAAGATTTCATTGGACATTGTTTTCAAACGCAAGCTTGTTTATTTGAAATAAATAATAAAAGAAAATGACCTTCTGTTGAATAATTCTAAACAAACGTTCGGTTGCTTTCTACCTTTTATTTAAATCGAAATAAAAATTTGCGACCTACTGTTTTGCATTTTGGCAAAGCTCGAGCTTGAACAAAAGATGTGCAGGATGTGCATTTTATTCCGTTTATTTTTTTCTCTTCTTTTGAATGGCAATTGGTTTATTTAATTGCTGCACTTGAGAGCAGAATCAACGCTTGCCATCCTGCTGACTTGACTCATTCAGCCAGTTTCAATTAATTTTGCGATGCATGCGACTGCAACTAGATACACACGCAGACAATCGAGTTACTTCACATAATAAAATGCAGCTAAATTGTAAAAAAAGAGCACACAAAGGGGGAGAGGGGAAGAGGGGAAGAGAAGCCGCAGAGGTTACTTACAGATTGCAAAGTATTGCAGAGAAAAAGGTAAAATAAATTGAACTCGCAGTCATTGTCGTGTCGCTTTGGCAATTCCATTTGCTGTCGACTGCATTTTATGGCTGCCGCACACAATTGAGTTTATCAACACAGCCGCACCAGCAAGGATTGTTCA